TAAAATATACATCTTGTTACATCATGTAAAAAACAAAATACTAAAATAAAATGTTATCAAATATGAACAACAAGAAATCCGCCTTGTTCTAGATTTTCTCTCAAATCATGACATTGAATAAAAATGGTTAAAATAGGTTTTTAGATGTTTTAGACATACCTCACTGAGAACAGTGCAGAACAAACACTCTTCCCTTTGTGCAATTGATGAGACTTGATGTGAATAAGCACTGATGAAATCATGTTCGTCTCACTATGACAGACGATGCAGAAATCAGAAATTCTATGTGATTCCACAAGACCTAGATGACGTACAACATGTTTTTGCAACATTGGACACACTGGTGTATCTGATAGGACTGGAGAGATTAGTGTATGAATATTTGGAAACTGTTAACTGTTAACTGTCGAAGCAGTCAACTTTTGAGATACATCCCATAACAACATTAAGGGTCTTCAATCATATAGCAGCTCTGTGAGGCTGTACTACATGATGATCTCTGCTAAATGCTAACAGCATGCTAACAGACAGTGATAATGCTATTTTATTTACATATATTTTGGTCGGATATGAAGTTTACCTTGTTCCCCTTGTTGGTGTAGCATGTTAGCAAACATTAGCTTTTCCCTAAACACAATTTCCAGCGGAGACTGATGGGAATTTCGATTTAGTCTAAAAGGTATTTGGTCATAAACCAAAGCATTGGACAAATTCAAAGGTTGACCGGATGATGGCGCTAGATGACATTTCAGTAGATCAAAGTTGTTATAATTCATCCTCTGGGGACCATAAATGTGTTTACCATTATCATGAAACCATCCAATAGATATTTCACTCAATAACTAAGAAGTCAATCTCATGGTGGCGCTTCGGTGAAAGTCAGATGATCACTAAAGTCAGCAGGATACATCATCAGGGGACCATGAATGTCTTCACCACATTGTATCAAGAATGAAGCACATCACTCAAAATCTGCTAAAATAAAAATAGAAATACAACGTATACAACCAATGAATCTGTAGCTTTTGTCCAGAGTTAGGATCGGATGACCCAGATGAAGGCCACAAGCCGACATGCGTTGGTCAAAACAATAAAGTGGTTCTGTATGCAACAAATGTCGCTGGAGTTTTGACCTCTTCAGAGATAGGATCAAGTCAGTTTGGTGCAGGCATCAAGTCTTGACATTCCAGTTGGCGATCCTAAATTTTGTGTTTCAACTCCTAAACAGCAACTGAGTAATTCTTAATAGTGTGTTAAAATACTGTAAATCATAAATTGTAAAACTGTCAATGATAATATGTGGTCATAGTAATTGTTATATACAGTACAGCAGTAGATACCAATTTAGCACAGAATAAAAAAAACAGTGTCAAGGTTCAAACAGGTTGATAATAGAAACTCTATTAGGAAAACACTCAACATTACTATTGGAGCATGAAGCTGTAAAGAGCGGGAGCTGGTTTACACTAATTATTACTCATGAGTAGCCATACAGAACATACATATATGAACAGTATTATCCATCTGTTAATAACCACAGTTAGATGTTTTAGATCTTCCTCATTGTTGACACTAATATAATTGTAAGTGTATTCCATTTAGGTTTCATTTAGGTGAGAGATTCATAAATGATAATAACAAATCATGCTGTGAATGTCTTCTCTCTTGTGTTCTTGGCTAAGAATCTTCCTCTTGTTGGGAAGGGGAAGTCCATCAACATATTTCCAAATAAAGTCACGTCACAAATGAAAATGAAATCATCAAACTCATGACTTCAGTCCAGTGACAAGAGTCAAGAGATTATTATAGGGGTGGAGTTTTTATCATCATCATTCAGTCCAGGATTGAAGTATGGGAGGAGTTTCCCATTGAAGGAGCAGCCAGTGAAGGAGTAGATAAGAGCTGCAGCATCTACGTCATAGAAGGAGACCAGACCCTCCTCATAATCCACAAACACCCCCACCTTCTGAGGCCGAGACTTCAGAGAGAGACGTACATCAAGTTCATCAAGAGCTCTGTACTCGTTTCCATTCCTCAACCATATGGTCCAGTAACCATCCTCAGGGCTCAGTGTGATGAGTCCCTTCCTGTTGATCGACTCTCTGGCCACTCCTAAATCCCACTCAGACTTTCCTTTGACCTGAATCTCATAGTAAGATCTCCCTGACGAGAAACTCTGCTTTCCTAAGACACAAAGACTAGTGCAAAATCTCTCTGGGTTGTTTGGGAGATTTTTCTTCACGTCACCATGATTCACTTGTTTTTCATCATCAGACAGGATGAGTTCAGGATTTGCTGTATCAGGATCAAGAGTCAAGTCCACTGCAAACTTCTGGACCCTCTTCAGCTCAGCTTTAACCAGCTTCTTCATCTCTTTACTGAGCGTCTCCTCCAGCTGAGCGACAGCTTTCACCACAGTCCCCTCATGTGTTGATGGATGGATGCTGGCCTTTGTCCAATCCTTGGTGGGTGGAACATCGTAAAAGGACTGGATGCTTTGGAGGAGGTGGAGGTGGTCTTCAGAACATGAGAGCTGATCTACCTCAGCACTTCTCTCAGTCAGCACAAAGATTTCCTGTTCCAGCTCTTTGATAAGGTCTTCCGCCTGTTTCTCTGTCGTTCTCTGCTTCTCTTCAATTGTCTCAATGAGCTCGTTCATGCGTCTCTTGACAGACTCCATCAGGATTGTGAAGACCCGAACACTTTCTGCTATCTCTCTGTCTGTGTTTTCGTTGCTGAAGTTGACTGACTGTTTGATCTTTGGAATCATTAGTCGTCTCTTCTGGATCATCTGCTGAATTTTAACCCCTGTCTTCTCCAGCTCAACCTTCCTTTCTTCAAATTCTTCTTTCAAAGGAACAAACTCGTGCATCTTATGGTCAGAATAGGTGCAGAGCATGCAGACACATGTCTGGTCGGTCTTACAGAACAGCTCCAGAGGTTTATTGTGCTTCGTACACATCTTGTCTTCCAGGTTCTCCACAGGGTCGATCAGCTGATGTCTTTTCAGGCCTGACATTGTCAGATGAGGCTCCAGGTGAGTCTCACAGTAGGAGGCCAGACACACCAGGCAGGACTTCAGGGCCTTCAGTTTGGGTCCAGTGCAGACGTCACAGGGAACTTCTCCTGGTTTGGACTCTTGTTGCTCGGAGCTGCTGGTTTTCCGTTGAGCTGACTGTCTGAACTGAACAACCATCTCAGAGATGAAGGTGTTGACCTGCAGCTCAGGTCTTGTCTTGAAAACCTTTTTACACATGGGACACATGTATCGGCGCATATTGATTTTCCAGTTTTCAGTGATGCAGTTTTTGCAGAAGTTGTGTCCACATGATGTGCTGACTGGATCAGTGAACACATCCAGACAGATGGAGCACAGGAACTGATCTTCAGATAGCAGATAATTGGCTCCTGCCATGCTGTATCCACACACTGGGAGCACAAATTAAAGTGGGAATGAATATGAACACATTTATATAAATATATATATATAAACAAATACAAACATTTTTGAAGAAGGTGATTTATTTCTCAAACAAACCAGTGTTATACAAGCTTATAGATGAGCTAAGTCCTTAATTGAGGATCAATGGCAGCTCAACTATTTGACATAAATATTTGACAAGTGTTTGTATGAAAAGAGAACAACATATTGTCCGAGTATAGCTGAAGATTTTGTTAATGCTGCTTATTGAAATGTAAATATAATTTGTACTCACCAGTGTTTGGCAGATTCTTTACTGTGCTGTTGAAATAGACTTGTTGTTCTCCGTTTACTTTGTCTTATCTCAAATCTGCTGTCGCTCTGACAAACTTTCAATTTCTCTTTGAGTTATGTGACGTTGTAACAGGTATAAGCACATGCCAGTCCAGTCAGCTAGCCGAAACCTTAAAGTGGAATTACCCTTCTGAGGCCAATCAGAGCTCTGTGGATGGGATTAAGAATGGAAAACCTCTTTCTGTCAGAGCCAGAAAAGTACCTACTTTCCCAATAGGCAGTGAATTAAATCAAATGGAAATGTCTTTAGTTGTCAGTGAGCATGTTAACTGCTGCTATCAACCGCTATAGTTATAGTTTTAAATTGTTGTTTACAGTACAGACAACTTTCTACAGACTGGTAAAGTCAACCCAAAATAAAATAACCCGCCTCCCAAACATGTTACTTTACACATGACTCTGGTGATGCAACTTCTTTGAACAGTTGCAGAGAAGTTCTTGATTTACATTGCACATGTGATTCATTCAGATTGGCATCAAGGCAGGGTAATAAGGGGCTTTTTAAGGCACCTCCAGGTGTACTTCTACTGCTATCTGACTCCCTTCAGGGCCCTGATATTCCTGACATAACCCATGCAGCACATTCAACCTTCTCCTCTCTCCCCAGGCTTGGAGAAGCACA